ATCATTTATTATCGAATTTTTCACAAAAAAAACACTCTTCACTTGAATAAAGAAGTAACTTGCTTTTAAATTTCAAAATATCCTGATTTCATCGCTGCAATCTACTTAAACCCTGCATAAAGAAGGGCTGCAGAGCATAACAGTGCAAGGATTTCCACTTACAGTTATTAGTTAACAAAATCCAACATACAAAATGTCAGTGCCTCAAATATGATTGGGTTACTTTATATTTGAAAAAACATACTCACTTGCAGGCACCATTAGGATTCAGTTTTACAAAACACTCTCCTGCCCAGGGTCAACCACAGCTAATGGGAGATGGACTGCAATAAAGAGGGAAGATGTCTTTCCTGTTGTATACGCTGGGTAGGTGATGCAGATTTTTAGCCATGCTAGCAGAGCATCTCGAGGGAGGCCAACGTCTGTCTGTCTCTCAGCAGTTATTGCACGGATTGCCATGACAATTTGTGCAGAGATTTTTGGTCCCGAGATGATGAAGTCTACTGACTTTGGTGATTCCCAGATTTCTCTTCCAGGGCCACTTTGAGGCAGATTGCTGTGAAATTTGGTTCAGACATTCAAGTCCCCCTCAGGAAGAATTGTAACTATTTCGATGATTCCTTAATTCTCAGTAGCGCCACCATCAGGTAAGAAATTGTATTTGTCCAAATGTTTGGTTTTGTCAATAAATACAGGAAAAATGAATGTGGTGGTAAATATATCTTCATGTTAGGATGCTGACGTAAGCATTTAGCTCGAAGAACCGCTGTAACAAAGTACAGCCTCACAGAGTATAGCGTGCACGTAGGCTTGTTAATGAAATTGTTGCCATTCAAGTCTCCTATAACTAAAAGAAACAAAGTAGATGAATAAATCTTCAATCATGGCCGTATAATGACACAGAACCATTAGACAGCCTGATAATAACAGGTTCATAGACATATAGCTCGGAGTTTTACTGGGATTGTGCATTGTGAAAGGAAATATGGCCGCAGAACTGGTAAAGCTTATATTTACTAGTTATTTGCTGTGGCCATTGAGACTGACAATTTGCATTTGGAATGTAGCAATTGCCAAAGCAACAAAATAATTGAGTAAGTCACTCAGAGTGCAATCGTTATCTGAGTTACTAGAGGAAGAGTGTCGAGCCTTAAATAACACACAAACACAACATTACAGGATTACACACACACACTTCCTGAGAGGCAGAGAGAGCAAAGACCTTTGTCCTCATGGCAATGTTCTTGTCGATTGAAACCTCTGTTACTTGGACAGCACAGTTTAATAGCTTGATGTCGCGATGAATTCATTTTTCACTTTGAACAACTCCAATAACACAATGAGAGGACAGTTTTCTTGCACATTTTCATCACCCTGAAAATCACCATGTTCTTTTTGGCATCACAGCAAATCCTCCCATGTCCTTTTTAATATTACCTACTTTACTTTTTATGTAAGTTTTAGTGCCTAACGCGCAGAGTTGGGTAGACACGTTGTAGCGGCAAAGATCCATAAATCAGAACTTTAGTGACAAAACGGTGTGAAATAGAGGCCAGCAGACAAGCTCCACTGATGCCATGGCAGGCTGATGATGACATAGGCATGATGCAAAGGAGATAAGGAGGAGTAGGAGAAGAGAGGAGCAGAGAATTAGAGTGATTAGGTGTGGGGAATGTTCATTTATGACAAACGGCTTCATTTAAAGCTAGCCAAGCACAGAGAAGGCCTCTCCCACCACAAATGGGTTGGAATGTTCATCTTTTTTCACTGACGGGGGGATCCGAGCCCATCCTCACGCTCTTGGTGTCGAGTGATAATAGATTATCTAAGGTCTCGCCTGAAGAGCCACTGTCTTTGATTTGCTTTTCAACACATTTTCATCTGATCTTGCTGCAGTAATTCCTCCCTGCTCTTGATCCGCCTCTTGTCACAGCCGTACTTATCTACAATAAGGGCCCTTTTGCTGTTTTGTTTCATTCCATGACTCCATCTAGAAAATCAACCGAGCTCAGAGAAAAGCAGTCATTTCACGATTATTATACAGTTGAAATTCCAAACTCGCTACCATTACATCTAATTTCTGGCTATCTCTCCTGATCACAGTCTGCTGATGGCTTTACCGCTGAGAATGAAATTAAAGTTTTGAATTCAGCAAACAAACAGACCGTGATGATTATTTGATGAACACTGAACAGCTTTAGATACGACTCCCTGCAGACTGTTGTGGAGCAGAAAATGTTTTAGCAGCAGGTGTACAGAAGACATTCTGCTTCTGCCATCCATCATTCATTTCTCGTCAGTCTTCTGTTGTGAATGAAAATATTGTTTTGCTACAGCCAACCATCAAAACATCTGATGGAAGTACATCAACTCACTGTTGTCGCTGCTTCTTTTGCTCTGGCACTGTGAGTAATTTCGCTTTGTTTTTGTTGTGTGGGTTGTTGAGAATGTAGGGAGGGTGAGTAGGCCCTTTTTTGTGTGTGTATGAAGTTGGATAACTGCCATTATAGTTGAGAGTCTGCACCTACTCATGCCTTTAAGGTGTCCACTACACTTGACATACAGTATGTATATGCATTTGCACAAATAGTAAATATTTAGCACTTCGACACTTGCCTCCATTGCCCTGCCAGAGGGATTTAGCAGCCTGGGCAACTTTATGTTGCTTCTGTTTAAGACGTTGTGCATGAATAAAAAGCCCCGGCATGGAGATGAGACATTTTCCGCCTGAATTATTTACAGGTGTATTTGACAGTGCTGTTAATAGCCTGGGGTACTTTCCAATGTACGCAGTTCATGCACAGGGACCTGCAGAATGTGATAGGTCTATTGCAGTGCATGTTTACACCCATAGGTTGTGTACTGTATATGACATCTAAATCATGGTAACCTTACACCAGTGCGTGGGTCTCCATTCTAAGTCAGTGTAAAAGAGCAAAGTGTCAAATGTGTTTGAGTTTGAGATTCTCTTAGATTTGTTTCTAAATGTAATACAGTGGCATTCATTCAAATAACTGACCGTTCCTTAAAACCCTCCCCCCTCCCCCAATGGTAATTAAACACGGCTGGCCCATCAAGCTTTGGTTTTCTCCACATGTTGAAGTGGTGTGCATGAAGATAAGAGAGATACTCCACTTGTAAAGAGTTTGGAGGCTGAAATCTTTTTTCAGCCTCTTTAAAAACCAAAAACACAAGAGCAGAAGTGTAAGACATGAATCGTAGGTTTATCTGATCTAATGTAAGCTGAAATCATTAGCATGTCCAGCTGACTAGCTTACTTACTTACTACTAGGGGTGTGAGTCATTCATTATCTCACGATTCGCTTCCATTTAGGTTCATGGGACCACAAATTTAATCCAAAAAACGATTCCTGATTCAAAATTGAATCTCGATTCAGCACATAGGAGTGATAACAGGGCTGTAGTCAAGACCAAGCCGAGGTCCAGTCGGGTCTGAGTTAAAACCAAGTCCAAGGCAATCAAGACCAAGTGAAGGCCGAGACCTGTCCAAAACCATAATAGGCAACAATGTCTTTCCAATGCTGATATTGTGATTGAAGAGCTGGGATGGACAGAAATAATGTATCTGAAGGCGATATTGATCATCTGATGTCAAACTAATCAGTCTAACTTTAGACTATTAATAAACCTTTAATTTTATCTGTAGACCAACCCCAATATGCCCACAAGCTGGAAAAAATGTATTTTCATTCAACATTCATCTATAATTCATTTAATTACATCATTATTTATGCAAATGGAATGGAACCAGGAAGTAGGGGTATTGCATCACCTCCTAAAATAAGCAACTATCAATTGATAACTCATTGAACTCGCTCTCATTTCAGGGGACAAAATCAACGGTTGGATAGAAATTCTTTTGTCTGTCTCTGTCTGAAATTAAACCCATTGTTTCAAAATGAGTGCTTTTGAGCGGTAAACCTGCCACTGTTCTCATTTGAAACTGCATTCACTCAGCGATGGATCAGAAAGCTCACTTTTATTCATATCTGGTTCAAATGCTGATTGGTCTCTGACTAAAACTGTCCGTCATAAAACTGGAAAGGATTTACCAAGAAGTCTACTCGTCATATTTCAACTTGAAAACACCCCAGTGGTTTTGCCTCATTAGTTTGTTTTTTTTGTTTTGTTTGTCCTAAAAAGTTAACCTTTACCTAATCAGCAGTTCATGGAGGGAACATTTCCTGCTCAGCGTGTGCAGCTTTCTCCAGCGTCACCGTGTAAACCCAGACTGGTTTTCATTGACATTTATTATATATCTTGACTTGTTTGTTCCCCGGTCTCCGTCCTAAATTGTCTGCAAATATATATGATTTTTTACCTTGAAAAGGTGGAGGAGACCCATTTTCCAATTACAGATCTTGTCTTTAGGTGTTAATTGCTGACTGACCTCTAGGGCTGTTGTGGATGGCGTGTGGATTTTTTTTTAATAACCTCTAATCGCGGTGAAACAGAGAGCCGTAATAGAGAAGAGCCGAGCTGCTTTTTAACCCTGCATCCTGCAATAAGGTGTAATCTCATACAAGCACATAAGCAGGCTGTGTGCCAAGTCAAAATGTTCTCTTGCAAAACACGAGCCACTGTGATTCATGCTCTTCCGGCATTCAAATTATAGACGGTTTTGTTTTGTTTGGGTTGAATTAGGTCAGCGGAGTAGAAGAGATCAGGATGGATCTTATTAGCTTTATTGGCATTTTGGTCTTTTAAAGCATCAGGTCTCGCTTTAACACTTTTCGTCATGGCAGAATGAAAAACATTTAAAAGAGAATTAACTTTAGAATAATCATGCATACACCGTGTTTTACTGCAGCCACATTGTTATTTCTCTTTTCTTATGTGCACAGATCGTTACCGTTCACATTCTGCACAGAATGAGGAGCATCCAGGACTACAGCAGTGCACTACGCTTTTCAGAGTGATTCAATCAACACCTTTGTCTTTTCCCTTCCCTCATATGTGTGTATTTTGTATGTTTCCAGGCAGCCCTCCAGCCACAGGCACTGGCTCATTGGTCATTCACCTGGAAGACTACAATGACAATGCCCCCTATGTGGTACCATCGGAAGCGAAGGTGTGTGAAGACGCCCACGATAGGAACGTGGCCATTGTTGGGGTGCGGGACAATGACCTCCCGCCCAACGCAGCACCCTTTAATATAGAACTGGGAAAACAGCTCGGCCTCGATAAAACATGGAAGGTTACCAGGGTCAACTGTGAGTATTTCATTTTGAAAAGAGATGTGTATGCTCTTGAACTGAACTGAAATGTGAAAAACAACAATCAAAAAATCTTTCGTACATTTGTTCACCAACAACAACCTTGGCAGAACACGGCACCTAACTTGTTATAGCCGTGTATACAAGTCACTTTTTCCTTCCTGTGTTTTCATCATCAGTATTTTATGAGCTTGGAGTCCATTCTCACAACAAAAAGCACCCTGGGGAATGTAGGGATACAAACACACAAAGAAAAAGAAAGTGTGAGAAGGATAAGGGAGAAAAAAGTAACAAAAGTCAATTGCACTGCAAGAATAATCCAGGGTCAATTGACCTGAGTGCAATTCTATAGCCATCCATGCTGACTACAGAGCAGATAAGCCTTAACTATAGTACGGATCACATGATAAGGATGAGGAGTAAAATAATAGAAGGATGAAGAGGAGGATAGACAGACAACCAAGACATTGATTCAGGGTTGCATGACCAGGAGTGCCGTCTGTGTTTGTGTGAGTGACAGAGCCGAGCTAAAACCTGCCCAGAGGTATTCGCTTTGACTGACAGCGGGAGAGGGAGGTACAGACACTCCTCAATCACCACCGCTGGAAGAGACAGATAGGGCCAGCAGAGAAAGAGCCCGCTCCCAGTGAAATAGACTGGCACTGTGCACATCTCGTCTCTGCTGGGCGTGTGTGTGTGTGTGTGTGTGTGTGTGTGTGTGTGTGTGGAACCACAGGAAGGAGACCTGGTGGTTATAACTTAACAGTATTTATCTCTATAAAAATAACTATTAAAAGCTTTTACCATGCAACAACTTTTAAACCTTCTTGCTTCAGTTGGTTATGAGCTGGTTTATGAACAATAACACATTTTATTTGTTTATTTTCTTAACCCAATAGGTAATTAAAACTTTGAATAAACACTTACTTTTTTATGATAAAGTTATTCAGTTTTAACAAACAGATGGGGGAAAGATTAAAGAAAAAGTTTGTCATTTTGACATATGCACTTCTTCACTTTGGGAAGGTCGATACCACTATGTCCACTAATTCATAAATATGAAGGTACCACTAGCAGCCAACTCAGTATAAAGATTGGGGAACATTGGGAAACAAAACCTGGCTTTGCCCCGAGGTAACAAATTCTCTAACCGCTCACTAATTATAATGTTATATCTCGTTTGTGAAATATAAACACTGAAGCTGACCTGGGGGCTTGTGGTGGAACAACAACTCACTAAGACAGTTAACATTGCTTCTCTCATTAATTTCTCACCCATCTGTATGTGTGATCACTTTGAACGTGCACGTGGGGTAAAGAGTTAACGTGATAAATACCTCAACAGATTAGTACAATTACACAATCACTACATGAATACAGTGTGATTGTTTACACTAAAACACCTGTGGAGGAGTCTGTCTGAGGGAAACCTGATGGTGCTGACAGTCAGCTGTTGGTGGATTTGTCACACGCTGATCAGGGAGTGTAGGAACTTTGGGAAATTCTGCATCTCATGCCGCACAAATCAAAATACAATGATGAGCCAGAGAAGTGGGGTTGATTCGTACAAAAGGAAGGCCTCTGCCTTTGTGAAATGTTTACCGCTGCCGTTCGACATTGTTTTGAGCACACAGTTGGACAATGTAAATGAAATACAAAACTGAAAGTCCCCTTACTGGAGTTAACAGCCGTTGCAGACAAGTGAAATGTGCAGCTTTGCATATAGTGGCACAAATCAGCATGAAGTGAGGTGGCTCCAGAATTTCCTTTTGTGTCTCTGAAAGAATTTTAAAGTGTGATGCAACAAAATGTAACAATCTTAGTGGTGCCAAATTGTGTTCGCTACAGTTGTCATGAATGACTTGGCAGACAGTTATCGGTACTTTAGGCATATAAGTTTTGTGTTAAGATACACATATTTAGTTCTGCCTTGCAAAATGGGCAGCTGTTAAATGCAGAATAGATGGACAACACATGCAGGATGGAGGATTACTGTGCTTTCCCTTTATTAAATCTCCCTCTTCTTCTGCGTGTCTCCCACAGCCACACACTCCCAAATCATGCTTTTGCACAGTCTGAAGAAAGCCAACTACCAGCTCCCGTTGCTCATCACTGACTCGGGGGTGCCCCCTTTGTCCAACAACACTGAGGTCAAAATTCAAGTGTGCGTCTGTCAGAAGAACAAGATGCACTGCAGCTCTGGTCACTCCCACCGCGCCAGCCTTCTCGTGCTGCTCGCGACACTCCTGCTCGCCCTACTCTGTAAGTACCATTAGAGCCACAACACAGAAAGAAATGAAGAAGTTGAGATGCTGTTGTATTTCCTGGTATCGTGTTTAAACACATTAATACTGAAGCAATAGGGCGTGTTGCTTCCAGTTTATCATTTGGCAAGAAACCAATACAGACACAATGTCAAATGGTACCGACTTAGGATAACTGCATTCAAAAGGGAAGCAATTCATTGTACTCTGTGAATAAAAGTCATACAAGTGTTCTTGTGTGTGTGTTTGTGCACATGCACTGATGAACTATTTCAATCCCTTGCATTCACTCATTTGGCAAGTGTGCTTTTTTTTGCATTTATTTTACAAAAGTATGCCTGTTTTGTTGTTTGACGCCATGCCTGAAGCTTCTTCCCGGGAAGACAAACTTGAATTTACTCTGAATATCTCGTTTAGGCCATTAGCGATAGCATGAATAATTCAGCCCCCTCCGTGCACAATACAAGCGTAATGAAGGACGTCCAACAGCTAGTTTGGTGAGAAGAAAAATCATTTGCAACTTTTAAGGCCCCCGGATGTCGTTCTCCCGTTTGAGCTTGTTCTCTGTGGTTTGTAGTCGGGCTCGCTGTACTTTGGTGGCTCCCTACAGCGGGAGGGATGGTGACAGTGGGATGAGAAGAGAAGAAGAAGACGAGGACTTGTGAGGAAAAGAAAAGGCAAAAAAGAAAAGAAAATGAGATTGAGATTTTACACCCAAACGATGTAGTCGTATTTATATCATCTTTTTTCCTACTGATTTGTGTTTGACTGTGAAATACGTCATTGAAGGTAATCAGAAAATTCACAGTCATGTCTCCTTTCCTCTTTCCAGCTCTCTTTTTGTTCCATTGATCTTAACATCTTTCTCCCTTTTTGCGTCCCGTTGATCACTCCCGCTTGCTGTTCTGTCTGTTTCCTGTCTCTAATCCCGCAGCCTTCTCTGACACTGTTTCACCTCCCTTCTACCACTTCTCCTGCTCTTTTGCTTCCTTTCTATTTAGCAATGAGCCGCACTCTCCTCTATAATCCTTAAAAGGCAGAATCTCTGCCCCTCATCTTCTCATTTTCTCTCAGCATCATCCGTGCATCACAGCATCTAGCATGACCCATGGGTCTTCCTCTGGCTATGGATCATTCTGTCTATTGATGCATATCTTTTCTCCAAATACTCATTCATTGTCAGATGACAGTGCTCCGACTGCCTCACGAGAGAACAATATGATGAGTTCTTCAAACTAAGCCTTCCCATACACAGCGCAAAGTTGCCTGTAACTTCTGTTAAAAACTCCATGATTCACAGGACACAAAGTATAAAATTAAACTGACAGCGTGTGGCAGGCAACAGCGAAAGCACGCCACACTCCAGCGTTGATAGACCATTAGTCACGGTTCTAATGCAACACACTAATCATGAGCGTAAGCTGATGCTGTGTCAGCATCCGCGGGCGAGCAGCCAGCTCTCAAAAAGTTTCATGGCAGCGATCCTGAGAGTGTGCCAGCTGGAGCAGTCGGTTAGCTTTTCACGCTCTCCTTTTTAGAGATATTTTGTTATCTGTCGTTGCCATGGCTGCAGCCGCAGTGTCTGAACTAGAAAGCATGATAATTGGTTGACATGCCAACACGACATTAAGAAAGTCCTCTCTGTAAATAATGCAGTGATGGACGGTGGCATTCATTAGCCAAATATCTGCTCCAGATTCTTGGGCTGCCTGGTTCTCTGCCCGTGTACATGTCCATTCATTTGGACTGAAGCAGGCTGGGGTTGTCAGAGCAGACGTAACAGTGAGCGGCGTTGCCCTGGAGCTTGGTGTACAGAGAGAGAGAGAG